GCACGTCAAACTCCGAATATCCTTTGCTATTTACCTCCGAGCAACTCGGAGGTAAATAGTGTAGCTAGCTAGTATCCGCTAGCTAGATATATATATATATCACTGTCATTAGTTCCTCTTGTGTCCTTACAAAATACTTTTCTTGGCTCCGCACTATCTTTCAAGCTTTGCAACCACCTCATTTCATCAGCAAATACTCCACTGTGTTCTGTGTAAAGAGGAAAAACAAAATACAGAAAAAAAAGTCAACATGAAATCAGTGTAGAAATCAATCGGAATTAACACTCCTTCATCGTAACACTAAAGAGCAATCCGGCCCGACAAGAATCATTGCCAACGATCAATGCTATACAACAAATTCTGATATTGCTGCTGGCTTCATCAATATTTTGATTGTGTAAGCCCTACACGTACCAGCTCCCTAGGGAATCATGTTGGCAACCCCCTTAAATACAGAAGATCTTCTCTCAGGACTTTTGTCCTTTAACTCCCGTAAGTGACCAAGACAGAATTTCTCTTTACAATATCTATTCAATATCTGGCAGAGAGGTACTGACAATAGCTAAAAACATCAATCAGGGGATTTTAGGTTGATCCAATACAAAATTCTCCCAACCAACTTCATAAAAACTGTATGGCAGTCTGTAAGGAGAATCAATTTCAGGAGATCTCGCTAGTGAAGTTGTAGATAAATGAACACTTAAGATAAGTGGAAAGAACAAAAATCGCAACATCTCAATAATGAGGTCAGTTAACTCATAGAGAATAGGATGATTCCTTGTAGAAATACACTGGCTCAATCAAAAAAAGAAAACATAAATATACATTCATAAGCCCTACACTTCCCAGCTCGCTAGGGAATTATGTTTGCAACCCCCTTAAAATAATACAGAAAATCTTCTCCTCCCTGGAGTTTTGTCCTTTAACTCCTGTAAGTGACCTAGACAGAATTTCTCCTTACACTATCTATTCAACATCTAGCAGAGAAGTACTGACAATAGCTAAAAACAGTAATCGGGGGATTTTAGGTTGATCCAATACCGAATTCTCCAAACCGACATCATAAGAACTCCATGGCAGACAGTAAAGGGGATTCAATTGAGGAAGATCTCGCTAATGAAGTTGTAGATAAACGTACAAATTCAAAGAACGAAAAATTGCAACATCTCAATAATCAGGTCAGTTCATAGAGAATAGGATGATTCCTTTTAAAAATACACTGCCTCAATAAAAAAAAAACATAAATATACATTGATAAGCCCTATACTTGCCAGCTCCCTTGGGAATTATGTTTGCAACCCCCTTAAATACAGAAAATCTCCTCCCTCCTGGAGTTTTGCTCTAACTGAGATGACTCAACGACAGGTTTGTAATCTCTTCTCTAAATGAGATGACAGCAGAACTCCACTGCATATTCCAAATGAATTGATGAGGATTGCTTCTGAGAATCTCTCAAAAACCTTCATGGCATTTATTTCTAAGGAGTCCACCAAGACTAGCACAGTACCAGATATTTTCAAACTATCTCAAGTGACTTCAATCTGTTTATAGACATGGCATATCATTACTTCGCCAAGAGAGAACCTGCCCATATTACAGTTCTATCACCCTTTAGTAAAGTTCTTATTGATCGATCGATTGATTGATTAATTTACTAATCTTAAATCGTACAGATCTTTATCCTTTATCATCCTTTATAGTGACCAAGACAGAATTTCTCCTTACGATATCTAATATTCAACATCTAGCAGAGAAGTACCGAAAATAATTAGAAAAACATCAGTCAGGGGATTTTAGGTTGATGCACTACAAAATTCTCCAAACCTACATCATAAGAACTCTATGGCAGACAGTAAAGGGGATTCAATAGTCCATTTTACAGTTGTGTGCTTGGTTGCCAAGCCTTTGAATGGGAGTGAGGCTAGGGATGACCTTGTTATGATACAAACCTTGCTGCCTTTCAAATGTAAATCACTTTGTCATCATGCTAACTAGATACAGGTCTCTATCACTACAAGGTCATCTTTAGCCTCATTCTGAATCAAAGGCTTGACAACTAAGTACACAACTGTAAAATAGCCTATTCAAGGAGATCTCGCTGGTGAATTTGTATATAATATAGATGAACAATTAAGGTAAATGAGAAGAAAGAATTAAAATCACAAGATCTCAATAATTAGGTCAGTCCATACAAAATAGGATAATTTTCTTTGTTGTTGATGTAGGGTACAAGCACACTATAAGTATACTGCTTAAGTGAAAATCATTTTCTTTGTTGTTGATGTAGCTTACAAGTATACTTTAAATGTCTCACACAAATATACCAATAGATGTATATACCTGTACATGTTTATCATGAAATTTATTATTTAAACTAAGTTTTAGTAAATCTTAACATTAATGTACATTTTTTCAAAAAGCAGCAGTCAATTAAGTGCAAATTGTCAATTTAAATGCAGTGTAGTCGTATCACAGATTTGCTTTCTATCCTCAAAGGCCGCTTGGATTCCACGGTAATAAAAGTTTTTATTGTGATTCAAAATGTCTCGTGTCCGGAGATGTGCCAAAATC